GTCCAGTACTCATGTGTTCATCCTGTAGCTACCGCGTACTCAGCCCTGGTCCAGTACTCATGTGTTCATCCTGTAGCTACCGAGTACTCAGCCCTGGTCCAGTGCTGTGAGAGGTCTGAATGAAGCATATGGGAGTTTAGTGGTACTGGCCCTCTTCTAATTCAAAGTTTTTCAATTATGGAAGATTAGGAAAGTTGGCAGAAACTTCTGCACAGAACAGTATTCGTATGTTTCATCTATTTTGATTCTATTAAGGGACCCAAGTATATAAGAAGGACCTACCTTCCATTTCCTCAGAGCCATGTGTATAGGGAGGAGGTGGGAGGCTGGGGAAATGGGGCAAGTTAGGGAGGATAAAAAAACAGACCGGGGGTCCTGTCAGCATAGTGTCCAGGCAGGGCACAGCAGAGGCAGGTTTGATAGCTTGTGCTGTGAGACCTCCTGGAGAGGTCCCAGAAAGCCTTCATCTAGTGTTCAGAAATGTCTGAGCTGTTCTTGATTTCTCATCAACTTGTTGAAGGTCCTTCTATTTAGAATTCAGTGCCCATTTCACATTCAAGAGAAATGTGATTTCAGCAAAAATGAGATGGCATCCTTCTCTGTTAACTCTTCTGTGAAGGACCTGGGGGACTCTTCTACCCTACCTCTCTTAGTGAGTAACAACGTGACTTAAACCCAGGAATGTTATTTTTGAAAAGTTATCTCTAAGCTATAGACACATTTTCTCTCATCTAAGGGAAAAGATGTAGAGAGATATGTATTTTTGAGTTCTTGTAAAAGTTAACTTTCCCTAGTAAGTATTAAAAAAAAAACTATTAAGAATGGAATCACTAGATGATGAGAATTTCTTTTTTTTTTTTTTATTGGAGTCTCACTTATGTCACCCTCACCCTCAGTAGAGTGCTGTGGCATCACAACTTACACTAACCTCAAACTTTTGGGCTTAAGCAATTCTCTTGCCTCAGCCTCCCAAGTAGCTGGGACTACAGGAGCCTACCACAGTGCCCAGCTATTTTTTTGTTGTTGTAGTTGTTGTTTAGCTGGCCCGGGCCACGTTTGAACCCGCCACCCTGGATGTATGTGGCTGGCGCCCTACCCACTGAGCTATGGGTGCTGCCAATAATGAGAATTTCTAAATCACTAAAGACAACTGATTAACATAAAGCAGAAACCCTTTCATTGGGTTATGAGTCAGAATTAAGTATTAGTTTTTAATTCAAAAGACAGATAAAAAGAGATAAAGTGTATTTATCTCTCCTGGGGGTGGGAGATAAATTTACGACTATTAAAAAAGTAATATCGCTGGGCATGGTGGCTCATGCCTGTAATCCTAGCACTCTGGGAGGTCGAGGTAGGTGGATTGCTTGAGCTTACCAGTTCAGGACCAGCCTAAGCAAAAGCAGGATCTGTCTCTACTAAAAAATTTTAAAAACTGAGTCAAGAGGATCGCTTGAGCCAGAGTTGGAGGTTGCTATGAGCTATGATGCCATGTCACCCAGGGTGACAGCTTGAGACTCTGTCCCAAAAGTAAATAAATAAAGAAAGTAGTATCTTTAAAGATTGAAAATTTTAAATATATAGAAAATGTAATATGTGAAATAAAAATTCTCATTTATTGAAGGCTGACTTGGTGTATGATAAGCACTTTGTCCAGTTTAACCCTTACCTCCCTGTGAGGTAGGTGATACAAACATACTTTCAAAAGAGGAAGAAAGACCTGGAGGGGTTGGGTAATAGAGCAAGTGTCAGTCAGGATTGCAGCTGGGGCCTTACAGCCTCTGAAGCCTAAATGTTTAAGAACTCGCTATTACAGCTTTTACAGGGTTTTTAGTCTATGGGAAATGAAAATGAGAATAGAGTATGAGAGAAAATATCAACGAACTAGAATCTGATCTGTTGTTTTCATACATGCTTCTACAAACAGAAATGGGCCAGGCAAGGTGGGTCATCCTAGCCCTCTGGGAGGCTGTGGAGGGAGGATTCCCTTTGAGCTCAGGAGTTCAAGACCAGCTTGAACAAGAGCGAGACCACTCTTCTAAAAATAGAAAAATTAGCTGGGCATTTTTGTGGGCACCTGTAGTCCCAGCTACTTGGGAGGCTGAGGCAGGATTGCTTGAACCCAGGAGTTTGAGGTTGCTGTGATCTAGGCTGACATGGCACTCTACCTGGGAAACCCTGAGACTGTCTCGAAAACAAACAAACCATAGTGGCATTGTGATTCATTACTGTGATGTTTGAGGAAGTCTTGTGTGTGGAATGGCAGCAATGGGAAAATCTAAACAAGAGTATGAATGATGGTGTGTATGCTGGTTCTAGAAACACAAAAAATAGCTAAGGAACCAAAGATCTCTCATAGCAACCCAAACAACTTGAGAAACTTTTTATGCTTTTAACAAGAAAACTGACCTAGGTTTCCCCCTATTTCACTACATTTATAGAGTTCTTAAATTTATGCAGTATAATTATTAATCATTCTCTTTTTGAAATTTTTTTTTTTCAGATTGAAACAATTGGCAAAAAGGTGTCTTCAAAGAGAATTCCATATGCTCCTTCAGGTGAAATTCCAAAATTCAGTCTTCAGGATCCACCTAACAAGAAGCCTAAAGTCTAGACATTGCCGTGATTGTTTGTGATTTTTTTTTTTCCGGTACTTTAGGATTAGCAAATATCTATTGATGTTAAATGGTAAATGAACCAAGTGTTTTTAAGGAAACGAAATTATTTTTTTAATGATCAAATTTATAATAGCTATATGGGTATTAGCATATCTGGTAATTATGAATCTAGAATATTTTTTACATATTTTTATATTGTTTGGTTATTGGATGAGTAGAAAAACAATCATGTTGGTTTTAATGGTGTCAGTTTTTGTAAAATAAAAATTAAACCAAACACCTCTTACTTTATAAATTGTCCATAAGTAGCACTTTAATGTCATATTGTAAAGGGAAAGACACTGCAGTTTTCCTGGTCACTGGTTTGTCAGTAGGTATGTATTTGAAAGCCATGAAATTACTAGACTAAATAACCTTCACAAGTATGGTTAAAGTCTGTGTTCCTTTTAGTTTCAATGAGATGTGTCACTGATTTTTTTTTCCTTAGCTCACTTCAGTATGTTTAAAAGACTTTTTAACACGAAGAGAAAATCAATAGTATTTTCTATTTCCCTCCCCTTTATTTCTTAGTTTTCCCCATTGCTCATTATTTTTGTAGTCCAAGAGCCAAAAATATTTGTTACCTTGATTTTGCCTTTTTCTTTCTACTCTATTGTAATTTTTATTTTTTTTCTTTAAATAAGAAAACCAATATATCTCATATATAAACTTAAGTAGATTTTATAGATTACATATAACATCACTCTAAAATAGGAACTGTGTGCATATCCATCTGCTTTTTTCTTATGTCTCTTGTTGACTTTACATTTGCAGTGGTTTTTGCTTTTGTTTGATCATTACTGAAATATGTCACGAGTCCATGTGATGCTTGTGCTCTGCTAAGAATGTACAAATGTGTTAAATAGATGTACATCTCATCCTTTGGGAAATTTGCAGTAAAAAGAGAGAGATAGATGTAAAGGTGAGGACAGATACATCTGTACAGATTAACAAATACATGAATAAAACATTCTGCATCAACAGCCCCGTGGGTGTAATTTTTGTCACGGTGCAAGTAAATTGTATGAATCATGACAGTCTGACATTAGGTGGGAAAAAAATGACTCCACGTTTTTGAGAAAAGTACTATATCCTTTTTTCTTTTGTTTTTTTTTGGAGACAGTGTCTTACTTTGTCGCCCTTGGTAGAGTGCCATAGCATCATAGCTCACAGCAACCTCAAACTATTTTTTTTTTTTAGAGACCAGGTCTTGCTCTGGCTTGGGGTGGTCTCGAACTCATGAGCTCAGGCAATCCACCTGCCTTGGCCTCCCAGAGTGCTAGGATTACAGGTGTGAGCCACTGCGCCCAGCATTGTTTTTGTTTTTTTTGAGGCAAGGTCTCCAGAGATCCCCGTTTCAGCCTCTTCAGTAGCCAGGACTATGAGTAGCCACTACCATGCCTGACTAATTTTCAAGTTTCGTTTTTTTTTTTTTTTTTTTTGAGACAGAGTTTCACTGTGTCACCCTCGGTAGAGTGCCATGGCAGCATAGCTCACACTAACCTCAAACGCTTCGGCTTAAGCGATTCTCTTGCCTCAGCCTTCCAAGTAGCTAGGACTACGGGTGCCTGCTACAACACCTAGCTACTTTTTGGTTGTAGATGTTATTGTTGTTTGGCAGACTTGGGCTGCATTTGAACCTGCCAGCCTTGGTGTATGTGGCTGGCACCCTAGCACTGAGCTATAGGCATCGAGCCAAAAATTTTTTTTTTTTTAAGAGAGAAATATCTCACTATGTTGCCCAGGCTGGCCTCAAAGTCCTGATCTCAAGCCATTCTCCTGCCTCAGCCTCCTAAAGTGCTGGGATATAGGCATGAGCCCCTGTGCCCAGCCATGGCCTCAGTTTCATAAAGGCGCTAAATTTAATCAGTGTGTAACTATTTTGCAGGGTCTGAAGTAGTGACACAAATGTAAAGAAAAACATTCAAAGCCTGAAGTCTTTCTAAATTATTCCAACGATAAACTATTATGCAAAGGACATATGCTAATCACAAGTAAACTGATCACGGTCTCACTCTATGTTGATTGTCTCATTACAGTAACATAAATGAAATTTTGTTGTTTTCATTTTTCATGTGTTGATGATGAGCAATTATCAGTGGCTTGAAAAATCTTCTGAAAGTTTTAATGTATTTTTAAATTATAGTAGTAACAGCAAACTCTTACAAAGATGTTTTAGGATTACCTCATAGCAGGGAACTGTTTATTGGGATGAAGACAGGCTAACAACGAAGGGAATTACTATAAATAAATATATACATCTTATTGATGTTTTTCTTTTCCTTTTCTTTTTATTCATGTTTTTCTTAAAGCAAAAAGAGTTGTTGTACATTCACTGAAGTCCAGACATTCTGGCACCACCTCTGACACCAACTGGCACCAAAATTTAAAATTACTGTGATCTTGAAGGCCTTATTAAGTTTCAGAGGGCTTTTGTTTTCTTTTAGCCACTAGATTTTTCAGGAAAAATTCACCTATTTAGGAAAAATGAAAACACATTAATATGGATTTAAGGCATCTCAGACTTCTATTTTAGTGTTTCCTCTTTAAAGAAGTCTTCTGTATTTCTTAGCATTTCTCTCTCCTCAAATCTCAATGGCAGTATTTTATTTTTTCTAATTTAAATATCCCTAGTATCCACGGTCCTTCCCCAACACTAATGATCACTCCTTGTTTTGTTGCTGTTAATTTTTTATCACTAGCTGCTGCTGTCATTCTTTCTAGTCACCCAGTATTGTAGCGGGTGTCCCTACTGGTCTGTGGGCCTGCTGCCGAGGGTGACCCTACTGGTCTGTGGGCCTGCTGCCGAGGGTGTCCCTACTGGTCTGTGGGCCTGCTGCCGAGGGTGACCCTACTGGTCTGTGGGCCTGCTACCGTACACTTATTCCATTTTATGTGCATTATCTATTCCTCATTACTGCCAAAGTATTGCTGTTGGCAAAATTCATTTCAGAGAGCAATTTTGCTACATTATTAGCCTGAATCTGATGTTTATCAAGCAGACTTTCAGTTGAACAGACTCATCTGATGGAATCTCTTTAGCTTATTTCCCTCTAGGGAAGCAAGAGCTCTTCATCTGTAATAGGCTTTCCCCCAATCCCGAGTTGTTCCTGCACGTAAGTTAGCTGCTTAGATGGATACATTCACTTTTCAGGCTGTTCGGGCTCCATGTTACACCATGGCTGAATGCTTGGCACTGGAGGCCTGATTTTAGGAGGAGTCTGGTTAACTTCTCTCTGTCATCTTACATATATGAGTACAACTGTGATGACCATATCCATATACAATCACCAAGAATCCCAAAGCTTATAACCCAGCCATGTAACCTGTGCTGTCCACATCTTATCTAAATCTGGTAGGTGTAAAATCAGCATTACCAGACCTCAATCCATCATTTGAGTCTAATACCCATATACCAGAATTTTATCTTTTAAAGGTAATTAAAACATTAAAAAGTTCATAATTCACTTCTTTACAAATGTTAGAAATTTTCCTTAAAAACAAAACAAAAAACAGGCTCAGTGCCCATAGCACAGTGGTTACGGCGCCAGCCACATACACGGAGGCTGGTGTGTTAGAACCCAGCCTGGCCCAGCTAAGCAATAATGACAACTGCAACAGAAAAATAGCCAGGTATTATGGCAGGTGCCTGTAGTCCCATCTTGGGAGGCTGAGGGAAGGGAATCACTTAAGCCCAAGAGTTTGAGGTTGCTGTGATGCCACAGCACTCTATCTATCTATCGAGGGCAACATAGTGAGACTGTCTAAAAAAAACAAGCAGGCTTTATGTCTGTAGCTCAGCGGCTAGGACACCAGGCACATAACTCCAGAGTTGGCAGGTTCGAACCCAGCCCAGGCCTGCCAAACAACAATGAAAACCACAACCAAGGCTCGGTGCCTATAGCTCAACCGGCTAAGGCGCCAGCCACGTACACCTAAGGTGGCGGGTTCGAATCCCCAGCCCAGACCC